ATGAAAATAATCCATCACCACTTTCATGGGGGTAAGGGAAACAACACTAATACCATGAAATTGTCCTTAAAATCACATGAAACTGATCTGTATGAGCAATAACCACATGTATGAAATCTAACATCAAGAGTCCGGGGCTCCCCTGGCCATTATGAACATGGAAGAAGAAATGGAAAGAAAATGGAAGAAAATTAGAACCAAAAAGAAATCCCTAGCTGTTTGATTCCCTGCCTACTTGAAATCTTAGTGACATCCCTACCTACATGTTTAGACAACACTTTATACATGTAACTTGTAAAGTCAACTATTAAATTTTAACAATTATTCCTCGAGCCCGAATGGGCTCTGAGTCAATAGCCTCATGGGCTATTGACTCAGAGGCCATGAGGGTGAGAGGGATTATTATTGTTTTAGTAAAATCCAACTAGTTAGTCAAAAATATCAAGACAAAACCGCTTTAGCTAGCAAAATGCGATTCAGCCGCCATTGTTTTGGTTTTCAAAGCCAGCGCTTTTTGCTACTAGTGGGCTATAACATATAGCCTAGTAGTACCTCAACCAATCAGAATGCAGCATAGATAATAGACCACTAGTTGGATTTTACTAATTAGCTATTAGTCATGATTGAAAAAAAAAAGTAAAACATAACCTGTTCAGGTGGAATCTCTAGATTAAGTGAGATAATGTAAAGTAACCTATACCTACATGTAGTCATGATTGAGAAAAATATAAAAACATACCCTGTTGGTGGAATCTCTAAATAGTGTTTGTTTTTAATCCAAATGACAACATCAGCTGAATATTCTCTTTTTTGTAATTTATTTTACTCAACATGCACATCACCACATTCCACATACATGCATACATGTAAATAAACATCTTTGAATAATTACTACAGTGCATGTATATGCAAAAAAAAAAAAAGCCAAATGGCTGCTTTTTCCATTATGTCGCCGATCCACACATCTGGCAAGTCCTAGTGCTAGTTGTTTTTTACCTTACTATTGCAGCGATGTATTAAGATTACATGTGCCAGAAGATTTGTAGCACAGGGATGTAGTGGAAAATCTATTTTAAAAGATCAGGGAGAGGTTGGGTTAAGCTTTTATAGCAGCCAAGGCCATTAGGTCCATTGATAATTAAGTTGACTTTCCCTTTCTCTAGCTTACAACTGTTACTCTAAATTTACGGGTTGTGTATCCACTGGTACACGAGTGTACATACCAGACAGGCATTGGTTATAATTTCCATCAGGACACATTTTGATTAGCAAATGTCTGATCAAACAAAACAATACAAATTTCACTTAAATTGGTTTAAATTGACCCTGTCGAATGTGTGTTTAAACAACTTTAACACTTAAAACAGTAACTGCAAAAATTGTTGCAGTGTTAATTTACTTGATCAGAAAATGAAGAAAAAATGAAGGTCATGAAACTCTTGGAAATAAAGCTATAAAATGACCCTTTTTGCATAATATTTCTTAATGTGAGTTGCTTTTTATTTGGTATGGTTAAGGTCCATCTTCAGGAGGGAATCCTGCCGAATTCCCCCAGGCTGTAGTAGAGGACACCCCAAGTTGTAGCTGGGAAGAGCAAGGTACTTTTACAAATCTTGTTCTAATTAATAAGGAATTTAAATGGGGCTTGTAAGATATTTTGATAATTAAAACCGCTTGTCACATTTTTGCAGCCAATAACTTAGTAAGTTCTAACATTTCTTAACTTTCAAAAAATATCGCTGGTCATGTTACAATTGTAACATATCTCTTTTTCATTCCTTATCTGACAAAGGTGGCAGGATCTCATATAAAGATTATAAAGTATTTAACTTCAGGTAAAACCTTTTGAATGGTCAAGCTACATTAGATTAAAAAATTCACCAGAGGCAGCTTTTTTGACTCAATGTGGAAAAAAAGATATGCCTTGAGCTGAAAAAGTTTGAATTCATTTTGCTGTTAAATGTATTCCAATCAATTTTCAGGGGCACCCAACAAGAATATAGTTCAAACCACTTAAACATAGCATTGTTAAAATTAATGTATTTTAGTATTTAAACGGTAGATACAGGCATATAATTTTCATCCCCTAAAAATTTTTTATCTGTTCGGATTTCCTAGCTGAAAGTCTAGTAAACTGAAAATTATAGCGATCAAAACTTAACTTTTCGAAAATTTCAGCCAGGAAAAAGGCTCCCAAAAATTCTAGGTGACCTTTTTAGGGTAAAAATCCGTTAAAAAATAGGCAATTACAGGAGCCCATCAAATTTGATGGGCTCCTGGCAATTATACCATTATTTAGATGTTGGAAAATCCCAGGAGAGGCAGGCAAGCAAGAATTTTTACAAATTAATGTACCGAAAATTCTAGATCTCAAATCGCCTTCCGAAGAGAGATTTTCCGAAAATTGTCGTTGGGTGCCCCTGAATTTTGTGACCCAGCAGTCATATATAAAGAATTCAATCCTCGCGAAGACTCAAATGGTTTACATTCAGAAAGTTGGAATTTCTCACTTTGTTAACTATTTTATTCGATTAATTTATTTTGATTACTTCTCTGGCCCCCCAGCCTTGGAGATTTAAAAACTGGTAAGGGTAAATTAAAGTTATTCTCATTATAAGGTAATAAGACAACTACAGCAACAAGTAACACAGGAAATAGCTAGAACTAGAAAGCAAATTCTAGGAAATTTTGTAATACTTCAAATTTGCCCTAAAATCTAGATTATTATAAAAGCTAGCCTGATCAGCAAATCAAGCCATGAATTAAATAAAAAGTTCAATGTTAAACCACAAGGAATAAGTTTACATAAACAAGAAATTAAAGAGTAATTACTACAACTACAACACAATTACAAATTATCAATAATGTTTATTTCCAGCACCCCCCTCGTGCAAGGAGAAGTCTTTTTGATGTGGCTGAGGGAGCCGTTGGGGTCCTCAAAAGAAAACAACGCCAAACAGAGAGTCCAGTTGGTTGGTAACAGTCAGACAATGATTCTTAAAGTATGGTGCGAAGTAATTTCTGGATAACCCCAAAAGATTTATTTGCTTCTGATCTACATCTGCTTCATGTGTTACAACAAGGACTAAAAGAGACAGGTGTCCATTATTTCCGGGAAAAGGTACCTCAGTCTCCTACGCACTGCTTCAGACCAGAACAATGTGTTTGGAATGTATACCCTATCCAAAGGACATCACACATTCTTATTTAGCCCTACATCCCCACGCCCCATTACAGTTAACATCTTGCACATTGCACTACATGTAAATGATACAATCTTTTTGAAAATTACATTAGTTAGATGAAAATGTATGTCGCAAATGCAGACAAGAGTCGCCACCCAAGTCTCGGAGTTGCAAAAGCAGGATAATCAGCTGGGTGCAATGTGACAAGTGTCGTTGGTGGTATCATGTAAGTTTCAAGCAATAGTAAATGGAAATTTTAATTTGACAAATACATTAATACATTATGAGTTTTATTGGTATGACTTATTTATTTATCCTTATGTAATATCTTTAAGGTTAGGACACCATTCTCATTTTTGCACCTGGTCTAAGTGACAGCATTTTGTTATGTTCAGTTTTGTTTCCTGAAAGGGCCCCTATAACAATTTTATAGCAACTCTTTCCTGCTTTATTTCTTGCAGGAAAAATTGATATTATGCCATGATCTATAATGAATTACCGTCAAATTCCAAAAATAAGCCCCGGGGCTTATATTTTTCAAAGGCCCTTTTCGAGGGGCTTATTTTTGGAGGGGCTTATATTCGGAGGGGCTCATGTACGGAGGGAAATTTGCGTTTCAAAATCGATTGGGCTGGCCTTATTCTTGGAAGGAAATTTACCGTTTTTCTGTTTTACCTTGTATTTGAGGGCAATTTGCAAGTACAAGCCCCCAGGGAGACTTATATTTGGAGGGGCTTATTTTCGGAATTTTACGGTATATTTTTTCTGCTCAGCAATGCTTTATTGCAACATCTGTTCCAGGATCTTCACTGACAAGAAATTTGCACAAACAGCCCACAATAATGAAATCTGTATAATTATCATTAGCTAGTGAATGACATTGTTCTGTCATATGAAATATGTATTTTTGAAGTAAATTAAAATAAGTTTTAATTCTCTTTTGTTTAGGTCATGTACCAATTAGGAGAGCTGCCCTCCAAAAGCTGCATCATGGATATGCAATAGCCGTGACCAATGATGCTATAAAACATACTTAGTCTTGAGGAAATTTACAGGAAATATGTAACTTTTCTGCTCAGGAAGCTCATTTTCAACATTCTTCTCTGATGATGATGTTACCTTTAATTTGTGTACTAAGATGCCTAACATGAATAATAAACAAGTGCATGTAAGCCTATTCCTTTTGATTCCCTCTTCTTTCTTCTTCCCTTGAAATCAGCTGTTTAACAGACATAGGTCTGTGGATAATTAATGGATGTGACAAGGGACAAATTGTCAGCTGATGAGACATTTGAAAATTAAAACAACAATTATTACTCTGGGCCGCAGACATAATCTAACCTGGTCGGTAGCTTCTGCGAAGGGGTGACAAGATCCTTGTTATGGACCCCAAATGGATTTAACATCGATTACCAGAAGTGTATTTTCCAATTAACGTTAAATGTACGCTGGTACACAGCCTGGAATCCAGGACAAGGATTTCTGTTCTGGCTTGCAGAAGGACTTAACCAGGGTTTAGTTCCGTCTCTAATGCAGGCTAAAAGATATATTATTATTCAAAATGTGGTACCTTGTTCCAACAACATCAGTCAAATGTTTTAAGTCCTAATGCTATGGATAAGAAAACATCACTGAAATAATTGACTTAAGAGGCATTATCTGAACTAATTGTGAATCTTAGAAATTCTTCCCTCAATATTTGCTGACCAGTGGTCAAACGTGCTTTCATTATTTTCCGCTGCTGCTCCATGATTTCCTCATTTTGATAGAAATCCATCAAATAGTTGAAAGTTACATGTGTTTCAAAATTCTGGACTGTGGAGCTTCTCAATCTCCTTTAGCTCTTCATGTTGTTTTGGGATTCCTGAATACTTGTCTTTAAAGTGTTGGCTTGAAGACACAATTCCAAATTGTGGTATTTGCAGCGGTGAGACTTGTGTGGATTGGTTGCTGTGTGGAAACGATCACCAAGCACAAAATGCATGCTTGTATCCACAATAGGATGGGCCATATCAGCATTTGAAATGACTTTACGCATGTTACTGCCATCACTGTACTCGACAGGGACAATGCACGGAAAATTCAGGTCCTGATGTGGTAAAAAAACAAAATGGGTCAACTCGAGTCCATTTTATTTTGAAAAATTACTCGCAGACTACTAACTCTTATACCTTGTCCCTGATCTGGGGCATGATAGTGTTGTCAAATGGAAAGGGATCATTTATGTGGAGGGGTCAAAGTACACTCTAGGTAGCAGATGACACACAATAAAGTACAGAAATAATAATAATAATAATAATAATAATAATAAAGGACAAAATATATAGGACATACAAAGGGTCCATGTTATTGCCTTGAACAAATAGCTTTGCTTGTAAACAACAAGCAAAGCCCTTTGGGCATTAATTACTTGGAATGACAAAATTCTAAAGGAAACCATGACCTACTAATATAGTATTGCCTTGCTGTCTCCACCTCCAAACCCAAAAACCCCACCACAAAAAATTACCCTGGATAAAAAAAATTGCGTACCCCATCGGGATCCTTTTCCAAGGATGGTCGTTCAAAACATCCTGCTATTGAGCCCCAAAGCTTCTGAGCAGTGGAAGGTTCACGACACTCAACATGACGAACAAACCCACATGGAGTGTCACTTATAAAAACAATCAGAGGGTGCTTCAAGGAGAGATAAAGATCTGCAGCATCCCTGACTGATTCTGTGAGTGTAAGAAATTTGGATGCCACAGTGCTCTGAAAAAAAACAAAAGCAAAAAAAAGATTAAAATAATTTTGATTGAAATGTTCACGTGAACAATCAGAGACTACAAGTGTTTAAAGGCCGATTTAGGTGGTAAGATTTTTGGTTACGACTATTGCATGCAATTATGTCAACTACACGACTTTAAACTATCCACATGTGCATGCGATTTTCACTTACAACATTATGAAATATCGCAAGCAATGCTGTGAAAACAGCTAAAATGGCTGACATGAGAATCGTGTTGGTCAGGGTTGTGGGTGAGAAAAAGACAAAGGGAAAGAGACGTTAAAGAGAATGAATGGATCGAAACGTGAAGAGCAAAAACGCTTGCGTCAGTAAAACGTCATAACTTGTCATTTTTCTTGGTTCTTGCATGACTAAGATTGTCCTTTGATTTTAAAATGTTTGAAATTGCTACGACATTTTTTGAGTCGTGAATGTCTGTTGTCCTAATTTACACAACACAATTTGTCGGGAAGCTATGAAGTATACTAGTTACATGCAACAGTTGTAATCGTACCATCCAAATTGGCCTTAATTAAGAGATATTTTCATAATTTAAATATTAAATATTTTTAGCAAATCATGTTGGACCCATGCCAAAAGACTTGGATGTTGCATGTTTACATGGAGGTGGGGGACCCCAGGTATGTGAGGTAACCCGATTAGGTAGGGTAACCTGCCTGTCCATATAATCTCTCAATTTAATTTGATCATGTTGACATGATAGGTGGGGTGACCTGTCAAGGCACGGAGACCGGTCTACCAGGCCGGGTAACCCTGTCAGCAGGATTCAAATTTTGCCATGTAACGTTTCAAGGTGGGGTAACCCGTCTAGCCGGGCTTGGGTTCGTGATACATCAAATTCGCACAAAATTCACTTTGGCTTTGCAGCATTATTAAAGGCAACAATAGAAAGCCACATCACTGGAGTTTTGAGCAAGAGCAGTAAGTGAGTGTAGGAGACCATTAATTGCCAAAACGCGTGGTTTGCCAGCATTTCTTTTTCTTTACGTGCTAAGTGACCATTCAATAATTGTGAGAAAGTGCACCTGGGATGGCAGGGTTGTAAGATGGCATGTAAAGGAGGGTTGTTTTTTAATGCCACCTAAGCAGGTTACTTCACCTACCTGCATTCCCCCTTGCACCTCCATGTCAAAAGGCCCTTAAAGTTTTGGCAGAAAACCAAAATTGTACATTGAAATAAATGAGCACGTACACCATGACAACACACCAAATGGTAAAAACCTCCAGTGTGGCAAGCATCAAGCTTACCAAAAGGGTGGCAAGGACAATTACCCACTAAGATGGAGGCATACAGTGCCTGCAGCTTTTCACATAAAAATTGCTGTAACAATAGACAAAAGAAAACAACCAGAACAATCAATTAATCAGTACAATAATTAACAAAAATAAAATGTGGGATGGGGTCGAGTTAGGAAAAAATCCATTAAGTGGGACAGGTACGGTTAGTTTTAGCAAATTCGCGTACAGTCATTAGCATACATGAATACACAGGAGTTCTAAGAAACCATGAAATTATTGGAATTAGGTCCACCTTACCTTTGACTTTCCAGAAGTTTGGATGGCACAAGATGTGCATGCATTCACAATCTCTTCTAATGAAAGATTGGCCAGATTTTCCATGGCAATGTGACCATCAATAATAATTTTATGAAGAAGAGCAGGGTCACCTAAAAGAAAAAATTTATATAATCTTAAAAATGGAACTGCAGACTACACAGTGCACAATTTCTTGTAACATACAGAATCATAGAGTGAGATGAAAGTGATAGAAGAAAGGAAAAGAAAAACTGGCAAATGGGTAACCAAATATGTTGAATAAAAACAGCCTTTTATCTCTTCTCTGCTTTAGTTCTGAATTTAGCCTAAACTTACTGAAAATTCAGAAATTTATTTACTTCACATCCCAAGTAGAGTTTCTAGGTGCCATTTATGCATGTGCTTCTAATACTGACAAAGATAATTTGGGCGACTGAGTGGATTTGTGAGTATCAGGAGTGGGGTACCAGTGGGTTGATGTTGGAGCATTGCTCTGAAGGAGAAAATATTCCATAATATAGATCAGTCACTCATAAATGAAAAATTCAAGGTATACATGTACGAACCTGATGGCTTAGAATTAGATTCTAAGTAGACACTGCTTTTGTCGGCTTCTGTGTTATAGACAGCATTTCCTGGCATACTGGAAGGAAGCAGTGGAGGAATTTCTTCCACAGAGACACAAAACTTGTTTTCCACACTTTTATATACAACTCATTCAAGCCAATGCAGTCTCAGCTTCTTTAGAAAATCATCCAGATTGATCATAGGCTTCTTGGGTTCATTTTTTTTTTGGTGAAACCCACCTGAAGTAAACAAAGTAATACTATTTGACCTGATGCGAGACAAAATAAGTGTACACATTGTGGTGCTTGACCCAAGTAAATTGATCTTCCAAAGCATCATTAAACATGTGATGGTGACTCCCGTTACTGCTGAATTTGCTTGTAATGTACATGTGGTTACTTACAGCAGCAATGTATGTGTGAACTAGATGAACCTTGACATGAAAACTTAACAAGCTTAAACAGTAAGGAGTTACATTGTGCAATGTATACTTTAAAATCAGAAACAATAACAAAAAAGGAAAATGAATCATGATTAATATTAAGGAAAGAGAAATGTAGAAACAACAGTTATGTGAAATTTGAGCCTGTGTTTGGCTTGTTTTACTGTGGATGAGCCGGTAGTAGGAAAATTTTGTAGTTCGAAAATGACATCAACAAAATGTAGGTGTATACCTGGGCATTGGAACAACAATTCTTTTCATTGCCATCTTCCAGGCAGATTTCAGGGCAGATCTCGCATATACCACACACGACATCATCAAGACTGCGTTCAGAGATGATCTCAAAGCAGAAGATACCATTGTATAAGAGATCCATAATGTGACCAAGCTGGTTGTCAGTGGGATAGAACTCCTGGAGAATATACAAAAAGGAAAGAAAAAATTATTGGAAATTACACATAGCTTGGATACAAAACATTCATCATTGATATTGTAAAAAAAGAATGAAAATACACTGCTCTGAGAGAAAATGACTTATAGCCGTAGGAAACATGTATTATGACTTTTGACGATTCCATTGCTTTTCCATATAATAATAAATGATATACCGGTAGGTGCAATGTTGGCTTAAGCTTAGCAACACAAAATAGAGTTATAAAGTATGTCAATTTTTGTACCAAGGTTATGCAGTGTTGGGGTGAGGTGCAGCTGGGCTGGAATATCAATCGTTGTACCCTGCACTTTGTTATAATATCATTTTATATAGAGCTTAAGGTTTATTGTTAATTTATTATATTGAGGTACATTTACTGTGTGAAAAAAAATATTTGCTAAATTACACAAACCTCTCTTCAATTCATTCTCAGCACTGACAACTTAGAACTGATCACATTTCCAATGGGATGCCCTTTTTTGAAATATTCCCTGAATTCAAGAAGGATGTCAAGAGATATAACTTTGTCACACACATTGAAGAGACCTGCAGGAAGAGAGAAACGGAAGGAAGGAATATTATTTTCAAGAACATGTGCTCTCTGGAATCAAAAGCAAAAAATAAAAGGGAATCCTAATTTATATGAAAAAAAAAGTTAGAATAAAACTGATTGTTTCTTAACAGCCCATAATTATTCCCTAGTCTGGCTGATGCAGCATCACAACTGTCCAGATTGGACATGTCAGAATTATAGCTGCTTGTAATCAGGAACTGCAAAGAACAATTAAGCACAAAATACAAATGCCAATGAGATTCCCTTGCAAACTAAGAACATTGATAAATTTGGTAGGGAAGTTTTCTACACTTCTCAGCCAAAGTAACTGTGGACTGCCTCTGAATGGAACTGGAAACAGGATTAGTGTGCATAGTTGCAGAACAAGAAGAAGCAAACATGGTAGGAGTGTGTATGGTCGCAGTACTAGAGGAGGAAGAAGCAGAAGCAGTGGGTCTACTTGAAGAGCAAGAAGGTTCAGCTGCAGCTATACTGGACGAGGATGTATGCCACGGAGTTTGAGAAGGTCCTGCGATTACTAGAACAGAAATGGACTCTGAAGACGTACAACTATCCAAGGAGGGAAATTGTCGCAGTGAGGCAAAGGGAAGGTGAAGATGAAGGCAACACGCCTTCACAGCAATACCTTTAGCCTTGGACACGTAACTGCGGCAATCTTTACCTGTGCAGGTATACCCGTTTTTTGTACGAGCTTCTTTCTGCACATGACAAAAGCCGAGCGGGTTACTGGCTGAAGGAGAACCAAAAACCGCGAAAGTTCCTGGCGAACACCATCGCTACACGGATAGTTGACCAAGTCCGGGTAAAGTGTAACAATGGGACAACAGTCAGAGCTATTCTTCGCCTCCTTAATGTGCTGGCATTCAAAAGAATCCACAAGACCACTGTTGACATGAACAGATCGTGCAACTTTGCATTTCTCTAAGCTACACTAGACTACGAGTAGTCCCCCATTTTTCCTCAGGGATAGTAGGGCGAGCGAAACGCGAGCGCGTGTGAAAATCACCCCACGCGAGAAAAGTCGCGTGGGGTGATTTTCACGCGCGCTCGTGTTTCGCTCGCCCTACTATCCCTGAGGAAAAATGGGGGACTACTCGTAGTCTACAGCCGTGAGTCCCCACCACAGGTAACAAAGCAACGGTCAGCTTGGTCAGAACTGCGGCAAAAGTAAAGGGATTGACTAATTTCCACAACCGCAGTATTGCTTTGCTTTGGTTTCTTCTTTTGGACGAAAGTGCCTCTTAAATGAAAGCTGCAGCTTGTGCAATCTGGGGGTTTTGAGCGATTGAAGTACTCTTGTTTGCACTTAGGACACTTGCCACGGCCTCTGCTGCTCATTGCAGAGGCAAAAATCCACCGAAATAACAAGTCCCCAATTCGACAAAAACAGCGAATTAACCCCAACAACGTTCACGATCGAAATAGCTACTACAACAACACGAACGACGGCAACACTGAATGAGAATCGCAAATCCACCAACCAAATTAAACACCGCCAATAGACCGAAATATCTAACCAAAATCGCACACCAGACAAAACTAAATCCCCACAATCCTCGATGATGAAAATCAGCATGAAATGGTTTACCAGGGACAAGCACAGGAAAAAATAACAGATTCCCATTTTTGGATATTTTAGGGTATTAAAAGAATACCCCTAAAAATCCCAGATTTGGCAAAGTGAGACAAGTCCCAGCCAGGGAATTCCCAACCAAGTTCCCTGGTTGGGACGGGCGTCTGGAAAAGCGGGAAACCGGAATCCGGAATAGGAACGGGAGTAGGAACAGGAACAGGAACCGGAACCGGATTAGGAACCAGAATGGCAAGAGAAACCTATATAAAAGCAGGGACAACATTTACCTTAATTTAAGTTAATCTGGATTTAATTCCTATTCAGATTATATACGAAAAATAAAGGAAAAAAAATGGAATAGCAACCGGAATAGGATGGGGAATACAAACATTGTATAGAAATATGAAAAGAAAAAGATATAATCGTGATATAAATAAAACGCCAGAGAAATAATTAAAGAAATAAGAAAACACCCTTGAAATGTTAATCTAATTAACCTTTCTTTATCTTTAGCCTGTGACACATTGTGTTTTCGTGTCAAACATAATAGCGAACTTAGCAACGAGAACGCTGACCGTCGCTTGATGGAACGCTTCTGTCTCACACAACGAATCTGAATTCTTCCTCTTACCTTCCACTGTGCGAATTTGTTGAGTCAAAGCACCGAATTAAAGACAGAAAACATCCACTTTCAGTTTCCATTCTTAATGTCCTGGACGTCAATGTTCTGGTTGCTTATTAAGGTCCCTATTGCACTCGGTTGAGGTAGATCTAGATGAAGTGCTGACTGGGATGGGGATGGGGGGGGGGGGAGGGTGAGGAAGTACGTGTTAATACCCTTTTTAAGCTGTGGACTATCTATCTCTGGTTAACTTCCCAATTAAGCACAGTACAACATATCTATGCAGCAAACCTGAGATGTATGGCAGCCCAATAAACGTCTCCGATGGGTGTCTCGTTTACACATGGTCTGACAAATAATATTAACATGTTACAACCTCCTTCCTATGAGAGACAAAAGGAACCTTAAGATCTGACAACGGCAACGCCAGCGAAAACGCCACTGAGAAATTGATTTCGGGTCTTAATTCAAACTATTTCTTATAAATTCCAAATTGTCCAGTCTTATAAAGGTTGGGAAATGAGACCGCGTCCGAGCTCAGAAAGACTCAATAAAATTTATCGCCTGCCGTTCACATTCTCAAGAGAACTTAAGATTTAATCATTTACGTCGTAGTTGTGCATAGGCGGTGAAGAAATTGACAGGAGCGCGATGCACTCGCAAAGCTGCTGCTTTACTTATTTAACTTGCGACTTTTTCTACCTTCTCGTTGCCGTAATATAAAGAGATTCGGGGGGGGGGAGCATGATACCAGACTAGTCTTCTTATTTTTTGTACAGATTGAATTAGAATTAAAATAATTTAAAGTAAATGATGTCCCTGTTCTTGTATCGGTTCCCCTCACATTACTGTTCCGGATTCCGGTTTCCCGCTTTTCCAGACGCCCTCCTGTTCCCTTCCCGTTTCCGGTTCCGGTTCCGGTTCCTGTTCCCATTCCCGTTCCTATTCCGGATTCCGGTTTCCGGCCTTTCCAGACGCCCGGTTGGGACATGTCTCACTCTTCCAAATTTGGGATTTTTGTGGGTATTCTTTAAATACCCTAAAATATCCAAAAATGGGAATCTGTTATTTTTTCCTGTGAAGGTGAATAATAAAAAGAAGCTGGTTTTCATTGGTCGACCACTATGACCACCGGAACTAACACACTAGCCAATCACAGACAACCTTGCAAACGGTGCAGGCCTATTGATTGGCATATAACCTTATGCAACTTATACTATGAATTAAAGTTCAAATAAACAAACCTACAGGCTGTATTCTAATATTTTATATGTGAGTTCAAGTCTCAAGTCCTTATAAATTAACTGAAAACTTTATTGCTTCTAACCTGTATAGTAGCCATTGGAAACTTTACTTATTATGCTATTTCTTCTCCTATTTTATCTAACATTGGTCTTGACAAGTCTGCTATAACCTTGTAGCGCCAGAACATACAGTTTTAAGAGTATTCCATTGATTATTTGCAACAAAGAGTACAGTTATTTCGATCTGCAGTAAAAAAGAAGCAGCAAAAAGGGATCTGATCAATGGCATATCTTTGCATCCATCTTTGAACTTTATAAGCTTATTTACGCAAAGTTATTAGAAAACATACCTTTCCACAGTAATCCAGCAGAGTAAACTCACTTGCAAACATGCTTTATGTGAACACAAACTTCGCAATTGATCACTTTGTCTCGAAAATAACATGGATATATAACAGTGTGAAAATACTTTGTTGCTTGTGAAGTCCGCGTGAATTTGAACTATTTAACGGAAGTTCATTTCACACTTTTCTATTGGTTCAAAAGCCGCACGTGATAAAGTAAATCAAATCGCGCATGTGCATAAAGGCACGCGTGGAAGCCTGGGAAAGAAGAAAACATGGCGGCTAAGCGATGTTCACTAGCAGCTAAATACAGGAATTGCACCGACCTGTGATTGGAAGATAAAAATAGTATGTCAGTGGCGATGACGTGACAATTCGTTACGTTAGCCGTTTCAAGAGTAATGGTTTTTACACGAAAAAGACAGTCCACAGGAAAATACAATAAAATATTAAATATTTCTCAAAGACAAACGGTGCAGTATTCTTTTGAAGTCGGCTGACTAGCTCGCTAAGAGTCAATGTCCTATCGAAGTTGAAGTTCAACTGTCGCAAATCGGATAACTTCACTGAGTGATTCTGAGATGAAACCTTTTGTCTGCATCCACATTGATCTTAGATTTTACCACTTACATATTGAAGAAAAGCCATAAACAGAGCTTCAATGTCCACGTACACCCCGACTGAACCTCGGTGCGATTCCTGCAGATACCGCTGTTCATACTAAATGCAGGAATTGCACCGGACGCGTTCTCGTCCCCAGAGTCACTCTAAGTTGTAACAAAAGAGCACGTGACCAAGAAAGACGGGCTCTGGGAACGAGAATACACCGGACGCTCATTGGTCGAATGCGCAACTTGGCATAAATTAAATAGCCGCGGGAAACTTTAATTGATTTTCTCGCGTTTTGATTTTCGCTGGATAGGACAAGACTTAGGCCACTGGAAATAACACATCACTTGTATTCGAAGTTAAATTATACTGAAGCAGGGGTTATAGGATCCTGACTAAAGGTCATCTAAACCTCGGGCTGATTGTTCTTTGCCTTTTTTTCTTTTACTGCTTGACTTTACAAGTGTAACATGCTCTCCTTGGTGAGGGGGGCGTAAGGGTTTGCGGTGATGCGGTTTTGGGTTATTTTTGGTGCGGTTTTGCGGTAATTTTTATTTCAACTTGCGGTATTGCGGTTTCAAAACACTGAGCGGTTTGCGGTTATTACAACCTTTAAGTCGCGGTTTTCGGTGAAAAAAAAGTGTCTGCGGTGATAACACTCTTTAGAACGGTCAGCATCCGGTTGTTTTGCAAGCGCGAGCCAAGTGTTTTGTTTTACAACGAATCAGGGTTCATCATATCAGCTTACAATTTAACTCTGTGGTTTGCAATTACGGCCTTTTCCAGTTAATACTTAATGTGATTAACCGTCTTGGCCAAAGATGTGTAGACTTGGTCAGTAGACGGTCAGTGAAATTCAATGCCGGATGTTAGCTCGCACAGCCGTACAGCCTCGTGTTCTCGTTGCTTTGATTCAATGCGCGACAATGGCAACTGAGATCGTCGAGGTCGCAACTGAAAGCGAAGAAGACCTAATAATTAATTGCGTGGCAATCTTCTATGAACAAGGAAAGGAAGGAGAGAATTTCATAAGAGCTGTACGTTTTAACAATCGTCTTCTCCACTGAACGTGAACTCTTTACGAGACAAAAAGGTTCCAATTCCAGAAGAAACATTTATTCCGCGTTCCACAACTAGCACAGGGTCGTCCAAAGTAATCAGTCACCCAATGTAAGACGTACAGGATCAGTGACAGAGTTTTTCAAAGTAAAGATCCGATGGATCTTGTTTACTGTGGGAAATGTCGACCGAGACGTCGGTCGATATAGCGGTCGACACTCCGTCGATAGTCGGTCGACACTCGGTCGATAGTCGGTCGACACTCGGTCGACACTCGGTCGATAATCGGTCGACACTCGCTCGATATAGCGGTCGATAGTCGGTCGATAGTGGGTCGACACTCGGTCGAGACACGGTCGATAGTCGTTCCAGATGTGTCTCAGCCGATATAGCATTTCGTTAGTAGTAAATAGAGTATAATAGTGTAGTACAATATATCGTTATCGTCATGATGGTATGTTTAATACTAACGCACAATGTTATCAGAATATATCACAAGTCTTGCTGACGTCAGCTTTCATATTGTGGCCTACTTGTACTCGCGGTTTCGGTATTCGGGTAAAAATCCGATGCGGTTTGCGGTTTTTTGGCGTATTTCTGTGCGGTTTTGCGGTTTTCAGACCCCCCTTACGCCCCCCTCCTTGGTGAGTATATCGAATCTGAAATACCTCAGCAATGTAAAAATAATGGTCACCTAAACAGCCTGGTTAAATCCCATCATGTCCTTTGGAAGAAACAAAAATCCCCTTTTCAGCAAACCGAATAATCATTGCGTTTCAGCACGTAGCTGCGAGGACCATTTGACCTGCCATAGGGGGTGGGTGGGTGGGGTTGAGTTTTCGCAGAAAAAAGTCTGTGGAGAAACTAAAGACGAGTCAGTGCTTGTTTTAAGCTAATAGAGTTACATGTCATGTTCACTCGCAAAATTTAGGGAAAAGGCGGTCCACCTGTAAGAGTTTGCTGAAATTAGCTCTTGTATTTACACTTTGTGTACCTGTGGATAACATTTCTACATTGATTTATATTTTTTATTCATTTTTTTTTGGGGGGGGGGGTGGAGGGAGTTGAGGGCAGTCAATGACTAAACACTCATCTGAATGAATCTGAACTCTATTCCATGCAGGCTGGTGACTGGCAAAAGTGCAGTAAGCAAGTAACCTCTTCTGCCCTTACCAGCCATACCAGGAGAGAGGCCTTTGAATTCAATTTACCCCTTACAAAATCCCCTCGAAATGCTGATGGTGATGTTGTTGTGTCAGATTCTCCAAGAATTACAACAAACCCCTTTTCATTGAAAACAATACCACCGTTTAGTCTGTTAACAACATGGGATAAGCAGCTAAGCTTCTGGCAGAAAGAAGAGAAGGGTTACTATTATCTGCAGCATGGCTCCCAATGTTTTAGCATATCTGATGTTAAAGATATGTTAAAAGTACATTATGCAAGGGATCTACAAAGGGCCGTCCAAGCAGAATTAAACTGGTTTTCAGAACCATACATTAAACCACTGACTGTCCAAATGTATCCTCCAGAAAGTTCCATAAAGAAATTTCAGGAAATTCTATACTTGAATCCTTTTGATTATATTATTCCAAACTATGACATGACACCAAATGAAGTGGCTTCTCTCTGTGTCACACGATGGGTTTAAAGTGACCTTCTTGACAGTATTTACACACATATGTACTGTTTCATGCACTCAAAAACTGTTTAATTTGGTTTCTGTACATTTGAAATCTTCTATTTGTTTTAAATTTGCTTTTTGTTTTGCAAAACTACTACCAGGGATAATCAACTTTTTGCCGGCTGTGAAATATAGCCCCAAGCTGTGAGCATGAATGTCTGACTTTCTTAGCATTATATAAATCATTGCCGAAATGTTATCTAGGTAACAGATATATCGTTGGCTAGTTTATACATAAGTTTAATATATGTATGTTGTGGTTCAATTTTGTCCTTGGTTTATATTTTCCTTTGTTTTTTTGTGTATGGTAATCTATGATAATGAGTTTACAATAAAGGAAACTAAAATTTAAACCAAGGATCAAATTGAACCACAACATATACACTTATATAAACAAACTGTGTTATTTTTCCTTTAAATTATTAATAACAAACAATAAATGCGTTGTTCCAGGAAATATCCATACTCCCTCCAAGGATGGTATTTTCCTTGGGATGCCCCCACCATTCGGGAAATTCCAGGTTAGTTTCATACTTTTCTTTAAAAATCTTGGCCTTTCAAACCCCCCTCCCCTTCAGAATTTTCCTTGGGGTTGGTGGGTATGTTTATTTTCTGGTACCACACAATCCAAATAAATTACACTAGCCTTTTTGAGGGAGAAACTCCTGTATAAAAGTTACAGGGATTGCTTGTCTTCTAACTTATCAAGTTGTCTCATCTCAGTAAAGGCATAGAAATACACAGAATTTGATCTCACTTAATTGGTATGTTTATATTGGGGGTGGAAAGTCAGTAAATATAGAAATATCCATTTACAAAAGCCCTGCACATACTTTACTGCTAACAGTGTTGAAGTGGACTCCTCGAGGGGTCAAAGAAAGTCTTTGGTACACTAAATTTTCTAATGAGCCGCCCTGTGCCTATTGTATAGGAATCCCCCCACCGGCACACTAGCTACAAAGTTAAATAAAAAGTTATGTCACTTACACAGTTGTTCCCTGTGATTCCCTGGTACCTCTATTTTGTGTTCCCAATAGAAACTTTAGCATGATTCATTGCATGCCCTCCAACAACAGTATTAATTTTTTTAATACAGACCTTTGTCGCAGACTATATTGAAAAGGGATCGATGTCTTGTCGCGGTTTCAAAAAAAAAACTCTGGGGACGAGAACGCGTCCGGTGCAATTCCTGCATTTAGTATGAACAGCGGTATCTGCAGGAATCGCACCGAGGTTCAGTCGGATGTACGTGGACATTGAAGCTCTGTTTATGGCTTTTCTTCAATATGTAAGTGGTAAAATCTAAGATCAATGTGGATGCAGACAAAAGGTTTCATCTCAGAATCACTCAGTGAAGTTATCCGATTTGCGACAGTTGAACTTCAACTTCGATAAGACATTGACTCTTAGCGAATCAGCCGACTTCAAAAGAATACTGCACTGTTTGTCTTTGAGAAATATTTAATATTATATTGTATTTTCCTGTGGACTGTCTTTTTCGTGTAAAAACCATTACTCTTGAAACGGCTAACGTAACGAATTGTCACGTCATCGTCACTGAAATACTATTTTTATCTTCCAATCACAGGTCGGTGCAATTCCTGTATTTAGCTGCTAGTCGATGATCTCCCGTTTTGGTCGAAATAGCAGTTTTTTTCAGCGTTAATTAAGATGAACCAAGGCATTTGAAGTGTTAAAAGCAAGAGGTAAACTTAACGTTGTTCTTTTAAGTTGGGAAAGAAAATGTTGGAGTACACTATCAATCAAAGAACTGCGACGAAAAACGTGTTGTGGCCGTTGTCCATGTTGGACAAAGCTCACAGGTTAGTGTATTGATGGTTTTCACGGTGACGTCATCAGATTGCAAAGTCAAAAAAGCGAGGTTTTACGAATTCTTATTTACACTAGGTTGAAGATTGATAGGAAATAAATCTTTGTACAAGTTTCCAGCCCCGGAGCTTGTTTCATTTCAAAAATACAGCAATTTGAACTTCCGAATTTTCACAGTGCGTGACACCAAAATAGGAATGCTGTCTCCTTGAAAAAAGTCTCTCAACTTGATTTTCAGCAGTTTAACCATTTCAAGTATTAGAAGATATTTCTATACGCACGTATGCTAGTTCTCGAGTGAAAAGGAGGAGCTTTTATAGAAAAAGTGAACTCCAGATGTTTTTGTTAATTTCCGGCGGCCATATTGGTGGACGGTTTCTGTCCACCAATATGGCGTCTCCATACAAAGCTCTACAAAGGTGCGTGAAATGTTTCGGCAACTAACTCAGAAACTGAGGGCCACAAAGACCTGAGATTTGGACAAATTGTTTCTATATTAGTCTTTTATAACATTTCATTTTCTTGGCTTCTTCCACTGGACGGTTTCAAATGTATTTTTTTGTGCCGTGTTTATTGCGTGACGGTGAAAACGAAGAATGGAAATCTGATCTAACCAAAGACACCTTGATCACACCAAGACCACGCCATTTTATTGCCTCAAGGGATCATTCATTCGTTGAACGAACTGTACCAAAAGGAAGCTCAAAAAGCATGCAAAGCAGGGAACTGTTCGCATGTTCAAGTGGACTTTCTCTCTACGAGGAACGGTAAATCCGAGGAACACGTTACAGTAAGAAACAGTTATAAAAATGGAAATGATCCTTGCAGTTAAATGGACATTATCTAAGTGTTGAACAAGTACCTGAGAAAATTGAGGCTTGATCGGGAATCGAATCCTGACCTATGCGATTGATCGGATGCAATCGTTTAACCATTAAACTTATCAAGCCAACTGGAGAGCAGGCCATTGAGGGCTAGCGTACCCAATGGTGGAAATAACATGAATGTAAATAATTGAGCTTACATGAAAGAACAATCTTTTTTTGGAAATGTGGATATAGATATGAAAGTAGAAATGATCCTTGCAGTAAAATAAATTACCCATGCGGTTGAAAAAGGACCGTACAGAAAATTCAGAATAGGAGGTACTTGTATATATTTCGGTTTGATTTTCATATAAGTTTTGCAGAGTCGCTTTGTCATCAAATATTGAAAATTAACTTTATATTGCTTCATGCATCTACATATACATAATTCAATGTTGCCGCTATTGAAGAAAAAGTTTTTTATCTGAGTGGAAACAAGCAAGATTTGTGTTTTGCTAGAGTGCCAAACTTTGTGGAAAGAGAGTAGTGGACTTGTTGTAGCCTTATTATCTATGTTTTTCCCTTTCTTGCACTAATTTGTTAAAACTCTGCATTTTCTATTTACCTAAAAAACTTTTGGTATTGATCCTGTAAAAAATACTTTTCTAATTGTCGTAATAATAAATAGGTAGGAATCTTGTAAAAATATTGTTTCTAGTTCTTATTGCTGTCACTTGTAGAACATGGCGACGAATTCTTGGCTTTCCCGGCTTCTGGTTTTCTGGCTGGGAAAGCCATGAAATGCCGACCTATTTTTTAGTGTGGCCGGAAAAGCCAGACTTCTACGTCCAGGCTTACCTCAAAACCCTGGGCTTGACCGGGCTTACCAGACTTTTCCAGGCCACGCTTTCCTGGCAAGCCTGCCCTTGGCCGGGCTTGCCATGCTTTTGACCGCGCTCCTGATGCAAAGGTGGGCCTTTGAAGCTCAAAATTATTTTCAAATACAAATTCTCTAGACTGATCTCCATAAATTTTGTTAAAGAGTTAGTTGAGAGAATTTGATAAATGATCAAAGCATTTCTCTTTAAGGTGATCATTAATTTACTAATTCTCATAACCTTCTCTTGATAATGCATTAATTTTGTTGGTAAAAGATTGTTGTTGGTCACTCTTAGTTTTTATTTATTAATAAATAATAATTATGTAATTTACAACTGATTGTAACTTCTAGGTGCCCAGTTGCATGTATGGAAGGCAATGAAATTTACAGTGTAGTTTACCTTTTTCCTTTATTTTTTATCATAGTGTTCTAACATGGAGCGGCAGGATGCTGTTATAGAACACAATGAGGCATAGGGTTGTTTTGTGGTTCAAGATCAAACTCAGCACATGGTACTTATGTAAATGATTGTCGTGTACAGAATGCAGCTGTGAGTCTTGGCTCCAGTGATGTAATAAGGTTTGGATTTGGTATCCTTTTAAAAATGACAACAACAGTAAAAGAAAGTGTGTGGTGAGTGTAGTCCTAATTAATGCCCCAATATGACTGTTGTTGACAATGACTGACGTTTGGACAACCTTACATAGGCATGGGTTGCACTTGGGAAAAGTTTTCATCTTTGCCGGCTAAAAAACTACAAAAATTCGAAACCGCAACCGGAAAAGAAAACTTTTAGTCCAACCGAGGAGGGTCGCATTAGTGGGAGTTAACAGTTTTTGCTTTGACACATTGAGAACTTAAGGTGGCTCCGTAATTAATACAAGAGCATTTAGCTGTGACAAATTTTCCGTCATAACTTTTTGGTTATTAACGCGATGGCTGCGAAACTTTGCAAAGAACAACAGATATCATTCGGCAATAACACGAAATATTCCGATTTCATTGATGGTAAATATTTCTTGAGAAATTAGCGCTTAAAAGGACCCTACTGTTCAAAGAAAATCGCGTCTAGTAAAAAATTTTGCTGATATTTTTTACTGAAATTTCTGGTATCGGCTTTAATTGATATAATAAATATGCCAGAGGAATTTCAGAAAAATCGTTGGAGCAGAAGTCCGAAACTAAAAGTCGCTCAAAATTCAGCTGTGAAATTGTTTTGGAATTTCAAAAATAAATTGCTATCGGGTAGAAGGAGCCACCAGTTTGAATTTTCGTGACAAGTAAATTCAACGTTTTCTAATTCTTAAAACAAAAGCCGATTGCCTATCGTGCTATTCTTTAAAAGGTACTGTTTAGTTGTAGAAGCACTATAAATTGCTCCAAACCTTGCTCTGAGGTAGAATTACTTGTTCTTCGACATTTTTTAAAATATCCCATGGCAGTTTTGGTTCAAACTCCTGCTGCATACATTTGATGTATTGCAATGCATTTTCAACGACTTTTACTTCTGTTCGTTGCTTCCAACTCAGGAAAAAAGTATTGAGATTGGACGCTACCTCGCACCAGAGCTCAGATAGAACTGTCCAGCACCTTTGTTTATGACTACAAAATGAGCACCCAGCGGCAGTTCTGCGTGGAATTCGCACCTCACACAGGGGGGACGAGCGACATCGATGACCATGCCTGTGAACCGAATAACATCACAGTCCAAAATAAAATTATCGCAAAAATACTGCCCGTGAATAAATTTACAACTCTGGAATTTTTGTCACTCCTTCCCTCAATGAATGGGTATTTTTTCTTGATTATTATGTTTTGCTCTGCAATACATGTTTATACAGATCGGTTCACAGACATGGGCATCATTGTCATTCGTCCCCCCCCTGGCTGAGGTGCGAATTCCGCACAAGTGCCGCCTTCGTGCTCATTTTTCTGGTCATAAACAAAGGTGCTGGACAGTTCTATCTGAGCTTTGATACAAGGCAGCTTACAATCCCAATACCTTTTTCCTGAATTGGAAACAACGTACAGCAGGAAAAGCCGTTGAGGATGCATTGCAATACATCAAAATGTGTGCAGCAGGAGTTTGAACCAAAACTGCCAAGGGATATTTTAAAATGTCGAGGAACAAGGACAACAAGTCATTCAAGTCAGAGCAAAGTTTTGAAGCAATTTATAGTGCTTCTAAAACTGAACAGTACCTTTTTAAAGAATAGCACGATAGGCAATCGGCTTCTGTTTTCAGAATTAGCAAACACTGAATTTACTTGTCCCGAAAATTCAAACTGGTGGCTCCTTCTCGCTGATGGTAATTTATTTTGAAATTCCAAAACAATTTCACAGCTGAATTTTGAGCGACTTTTTAGTTTCGGACTTCTGCTCCAACGATTTTTCTGAAATTCCTCTGGCATATTTATTATATCAATTAAAGCCGATACCAGAAATTTCAGTAAAAATATCAGCAAAATTTTTACTAGACGCGATTTTCTTTTGAACAGTAGGGTCCTTTTAAGCGCTAATTTCTCGAGAAATATTTACCATCAGTGAACTCGGAATATTTCGAATCATTGCCTAATGATATCTGTTGTTCTTTGCAAAGTTTCGCAGCCATCGCGTTAAAAACCAAAAAGTTATGACGGAAAATTTGTCACAGCTAAATGCTCTTGTATTAATTACGGAGCCACCTTAAGAACGCCAGATACCAGAAAACATTTTTCTCTTCTTCGTCCGAACCTTTGTCGAAGGATCTTTTTCCTCCATTCCCAGTTTCAGGAGGATGGGACAGATAAAGAAGACCAGAAAGTGCTTGGATGCAAATAGTGCATTTGGCTTGGAGAATAACAAACTTGTGAAGTGTTTGCTTGTGTAGACGGGAACTGGTTCGCCTTCAATAGAGCTAGTTCCCGTAAAAACTTTAAAATAGCGAAGGTTTATAAGCGAGTGAAGTCCTTGCCTGTAGAGAGTTTTCGAAAAAAACTTGAAATGGCGAAGGATAGCCGAGTAGAAGCCTCTTCACGAAGGTCTGAAAATTCGACCACGTTTATTTTAAATTGATCGTGTTTCAAATGCATCACGTTCATGACAAGGCGCTGACAGTTACCGCTGTGATTCCTATTGTTTAGCTCGAGTTTTCCAAAATCTGCCTGCCCCACCCAAGCACTACGGCGTCTTTGATGTTTTTGCCGATTTTCAAAGTTTTTTCTAACTTGAAAACTCGGGGTTGCACTTAGCAATGTCCACCGATGACAGATTTCTACCGCAAGGTAATCAAATTCTCCCAAAAATTTGCCAAGTGTGACCCATGCCATAGAGTCAAAGTGAGTTGTATCTTTTCAGTTGATGATATTTGAGATTTTGCTCGATATAGTTAAATGAATTAACAATGCATACCTAATGTATTTGATTACAGAACTACCTTAACATGCGTACAACTAAACAGGAAATGCAGGTTTTGAATTTCTTGTTGATTCATCCTCAACACTTCATTACCCATCCTGGGTCTGTCTAAGCCATGAGAATCATACAGACTCCGTGTTCTGTCTTCACCAATGGCAACGTCACAGTTGGGTGGAGTCACCTCCCTTCCTTATATCACACTGTCACACCAGTGAGTACTGATGGTGTACCACTGTATACAAGCACTGAACCAGTCAGTTTGCCTGGGACTGGTGGCTCAGTGTCAGGAATAAGAGGCCCATCTGATCCAAAGGTTAGTAAGTTTTTCTGAATGGCAGTGTGCAAAGAAAGTCATGTCTGATAACTTGGGGCTAGTGGATTTTGCAATTGGGGCTAGTGAATTCTGTTCTTAATTTGCCTGACAGGCAAGTGAAGATTTTTGGTGAAATTGAAATTAAAAGATACTGAGGTAGATTATTCAGTCAGAGGCTTGAAAGAAGCAACCCAGTGCTCCCATTGGGAGTCAAACCTATGACCTTGTGGTTACTTGTTCAGATGCTCTACTACTAAGCTACATGAGACTCTTGTGAGCTAAGGCTACTAAACTAGGTTCATGTGACAAACATATTCCATACTGCGTGGACCAGAATAATATTGATATGTGATAGAAATGTGATGGCAAATTTGAGGTCTGGTATATATGATACAGGTCAAAATTAAATTCAGGTAAAAAGTTGATTCTCAGTTCTCCTTGTCTCCTAACCCTAATAATATTAATCCATTAGAGCTGGGAGACAAAGAAAATTGAGAACCAACCTAGGTTAAAATTTTATCCTGAATTTAAGTTTGACCTAGCTCTAACAAATACACAGTCAAGGGGTGTTTATTTACTGATTTATTTATTGATATGTGATAGAAATGTGATGGCAAATTTGAGGTCTGGTATATATGGTACAGGTCAAAATTAAATTCAGGTAAAAAGTTGATTCTCAGTTCTCCTTGTCTCCTAACCCTAATAATATTAATCCATTAGAGCTGGGAGACAAAGAAAATTGAGAACCAACCTAGGTTAAAATTTTATCCTGAATTTAAGTTTGACCTAGCTCTAACAAATACACAGTCAAGGGGTGTTTATTTACCATCTGACACAGGCAGCTCTGAAAAAAAATCTGAGTTCTCCCAATAGGAGTAGAAACTATGATCTTCTGGCTACTAAACCATGCTCTATAAGATCACTAAACTAGGTTCTTCCACAAATCTTCTTAACTCTGTGGCAGGATTTGCTTATTGTAGTGTGTTTGTTTTTCAGGCTAATGTTATGCCACACCCTCCTCTGAGATCTCGCCCAACAAGTGCTGATGCTACCAGGACTCGACCCAGTTCTGCTGGCAGAGAAAGGATAACTGGTCCTCCTGTTGCTAGAGGTAACTATCATCATCATTATCATCATTATTATCATCCAGCCTTTTCAGTTGGGATGCTGTGAATAATGATCTTATTCCATGCATTCCAGTCTGACATCGTGCTCGCAAGGTCCTCCCTGTTAATTCTGGAATTTTTCAAGATCAGATCGGTGAATGAACACGGCCACTTAATTTTTTCTGTAGAAGAAGGGATTGAATGATCGCCCCCTAAAACTATACAATATTACATGATGGTGCAAAATACAGGGGAAAGCAGTAAATAAAAAAATGTTTAAGTGAAGTTGGGCAGCCAAAGAAGAATATTACATTTCCGTTAGCAAGAAGGTTTAAGGTGATAAGTCCAAAAGTAAGAAATGAGAGGAAATGGGGTTTTCAGGAGAGTGTTCACCAAAAACGGTACACTGCCCTGTATACTATTTAGGAGTAGACTAGTCAAGTTGGACATTTTTGATTAAAAGTGAATTTCTGAATATGACTGGACTAGTCTGGCTAGTCTGCAGTTCTGATTGAGTTAAATTTACAAAGATTTGTTTATTTTGTTGCTTATAATTATGCTTTATTTGCAGTGGATTTTCATGGTTTTATTTAAGACCATTTTTAAAATGAAATCCTTGCAGCAATATTTTGGTGGCTTTTACGACATGTTACCTCATTCTCATATGAATGTGAGAATTTTGACAAAAAAACATAGCATGGAATAATGACAATTACATGTATGCAGTAGTAGTAGTAGTCACCAGAGATTGAAATCAAACTTCTTATGTTTCTTTAAAATTGTATGCTAACATTAAGGGCACTGTAAAATCTCTGTGATACTTTCCTTTAAAGCATTCATAGGCAGGAGAGGACGGGGGTTAGGGAGCCCAGAGGGATAGGCAGCAGGAGGGATATGGGTGGTGGGGGGGGTCGGGAGCCCAGACGGATAGGCAGCAGAAGAGATATGAGTGGGGGGGGTAGGGAGCCCAGAAGGATAGGCTGCAGGAGGGATGTGAGTGAAGGAGGGGGGTAGGGGAGCCCAGAAGGATAGGCAGCTGGAGGGATATGAGTCGGGGGGGGTAGGGAGCCCAAAAGGATAGGCTGCAGGAGGGATATGAGTGGTTGGAGTTCTAAAAGTGCTGGAAGCCAGAGCTTGCGTGTAATATTTTGCAATTGAAAAAGATCTAAAGGGAGGAAGCCCAGGGATGGTACTCCCTTTTAGAAGCCGTATAGGTATGTACTGCCTCGAAGGGGAGGGTTATTGGGCCGTTTCAGTCTGAAAAAGGGTATAGACTTTGCACATTTTGGTCTGGCATCAGGAATAATGGTTTTCAAGAGAACTACAGGGGTATATGAACATGTTTGTCATTTCAATTCCGAATGAACAAGAAAACAAGATAATATGCGAATTTGAAGTTGATTTTAAACAAATCTAAGTAATTTTAGGTCTGAAAACGGGTCTGGCTTTTGGAGGCCAGGTGTGAAAATGGGTGTGGATAATGAAATTTTTGGTCAGAAATAGGGTTAGGATACCCACCAAGATTTCCCAAAAATACCCCACCGGGGGAGGAAGGCAAGGTATGGGAGGTAGGAAGTTTAGACCCCCTCCTGTCCCCCCTGATAATAATGCTGAGATTTTCATGTGAATTGTCTCCTGAATTTACAGGTGGATGGATTAATGGTCCAGTGCAGATAACAGGGGAGCAAAGCATTGAAGATCTGATAAGCTTCTTTGAGCTGCAGTGAAATTTGTTGTCTCAAAACCTTCTAGGGGGGTTGATGGTATGTAAGCTGGGGAGCCAAGCCGGGGGGGTACTCCCTATGATGACCTATGTGGGGAGGCTCAGCCCAAAAGGGGTATGTTTTTCAGGCTTCAGGTATATAAAAGGGTAGGGATTTTACTTGTTGAAGTGTATAAAAGGTAGGGATTTCCCTGCATTTGGGTCTGTGAATGGGTCCAAAAGATCTAACAGATGAATTTTATGGTTTTATGAAGTCGAGAAAACGTTCTATTTTTGTGATTGATACCTATTCAAAAGACAGTGCAGTTGAAAGGGATGCAAGCGTCTAAACAAGGTACATGCGAAAGCGGTACCATTTATCAATAGAGGGTGTACGAAAGGGGTACCTTTTTCGTGAAAAATAGTACATAAAAAGGTAAGGGGTTGGACCTTGGAGTAGAGCCTCCCTGTATAACCATTTGTCCAGTACCTTTCCGCCCCAGAAGCCAAGTCCTTGTGTAGGGCTATGAGGTATTTGGAATGGTTTTTGGGGAGGGCGTGGATGCCATAGAAATATTATGCTACCTGGTAGGCTCATTTATCGTTTAAGATTGTCTCACAAAAGTCTTTGTCATTGATTGCTTTGTTTAAAATTTAAAATTCGTTTAAAATTGTCTCACAGAAGTCTTTTCCATCGACTGCATACTGCTGGTCACTCAGGTGATGGTGTCGAGTTAGGACCATGAATAATGTTAGTAATGTATATCGTAATTGCTTCAGCTTGGTGCATTATGGAAGCCGCAATGC